AGGTCATCACAGCTGTCATGACGAGCATCTATAAAGACAGCCCCAGCATTATCACCCAACACTATACAGAAATACAGAATTTATTGATAAATTACTAATTCTGCAGGTATAACTGCCAGATTAGTGAGCAGACAGTTCGAGGACAAGGGGATTATTCAGTGACAAACAATATTTTGGATTAAAAAACGCAAATAATTAGTTTGAATTTTTTTTCGATAATATCAAAATTACAATCAATTTAACTTAATACACCTTTTTTTTATTTTTGAAACACATGTTAGGTGAGAAACAAACTACAAAAACAAATTACTTAAAAAAAGTATTGTTAAGGTTTTTTGGGCATCACTACCACAAATATTCATTATGCAGAATCCGAGACAGCAACAGGTGCAAGTTGCCCTTCAAAATCTTTTCCAGGGCTTTATAGAGAATCAGAAATCATCAGAGGCTCATATTTCTGGCCAATTTGAGCGACGGGAGATAAAAGAGATCTATAAATGTCAGGAGACAAAGGTTTCAAGACAATGTCATGCTTGATTCAAAGGCCTATGCTGACAAGATGCCATTTGGGCTGGAGATAAGAGGAAGTCGCTCTCATCTCCGTCCCCCAGATGAGCCTCTGCTGATGCTGTAATGCAAACAGGGTAAACCTGAGCAGCAGTTGTTCAGTTTGAATGCTGAGGAGAGTTCTTGAAATGTTGAGTTACTACTAGTCATTTCCCTCCTACCTCTTTCAGGTGGTAAAGATGATGATCATCGTAGTCGTGACCTTTGCCCTCTGCTGGCTGCCCTATCACGTCTACTTCATGGTGACGGGTCTCAACAAGCGTCTGAGCAGGTGGAAGTACATCCAGCAGGTTTACCTGTCTGTGCTGTGGCTGGCAATGAGCTCGACCATGTACAACCCCATCATCTACTGCTGCCTCAACAGCAGGTGAGTGCAAATAAGCCTCCACAACAACCCAGGAACTGTTCCCATAAACTGCAGTGTGATTACATGTCGGGGTGATTTGGGTGCAGGTTTCGAGCCGGCTTCAAGAGGGCTTTCTGCTGGTGTCCCTTTGTCCACGTTTCGAGCTACGATGAGCTGGAGCTCCGAAACACAAGACTTGGACCGGGTCGCCAGAGCACCGTGTGCACCCTCTCTCGGGTGGACCCCAGCATCCTCAGCAAAAAGAAGAGCACCTGTCTCAGACTCAACTCTGAGCCCAGTCATAAAGACAGTTAGTTTTCTCCACTCGACACAATGCAGCTCAACAGGTTTAATAGGCACATTACTTTGAGATAGAACATGCTGATTGGACTGTATTTGGTTTACTTATAGAGCTGATCATTTCAAATTATTTACTTAACTCAGTTGTGGTGAATGCCTCAAACTGTTTTAGCTGTGAGGCATGTCTCCCCGATCATTTGACCCGTTTATCAACAGCAGCAGCAGTTTGTGTGACACACTGGAAGCATTAAAGCACTCAGACATAACACACAGACATTTGGATTAAGTGTAACCAACTCTTTCAAGGGACATTTAATGTTTTCACTATCTTTGTAAAGCGACTTTGAGCACCTGTAAAAGCGCTAACAAAATACATCTATTATGTACAGAGTCAGACATAATCTACTTCCTAGGAAATTAAAAACATTGTTCGTAGACAGAGAGGGTGGGTATAATTTGAGAGGAAATTTACATTTTAAACAACTCAAGGTCAGAACAACTCTGAGAAGTATGAGTATAACAATCTGTGGGCTGATTTTATGGAATGGTTTGGAGCAGGAGTTAAAACAAAGCACAAGCATAATTCAGTTTAAAAGGATGTACAGAAACACTTTTTTGGAAAAATATGAGAATGAAGAGAGGTGATTGAAGATGAGAAATTATTGTATATGTATGTATAAATGTAAATGTATGTAGGAATAACTTGCATAATGATTTAAAGGACAATCATTGATCAAGTAAGGGGTGGGAATTAATAAGCATTTGCTTCTTCCTACTCCCTTTCGGACACATATGATTTATTATTATTATTAATATGAAGACTTTTTTTTGTTTTTTTGTTGAATATACAAATATCACCATGAATGTGGATAAATACTGTATTTAACAATACGGTATTCTGTTTTTCACATCTTTTATTTTGTATTTGTTATTCTTTAATCTGTTCGAAATAAAGACTGAAAATGAAATGAATTATTATTATTATTATTATTATAATATTATTTTCAAGTATAAACCCTCTTTAAAACTGCAGAAGTCGTGCAAAGGAACTGCTTAATGCTTATTCAGCATAACTTCAATGGTGCTAATTTGCTAAAATGTAAAAAAATCTCTGCTGGTAAAATATCCCACTGAGTTCAATTTCATTCAATAGTCACACAGTACATCTCTTTATTATTTATTTATTTATATAAAAATGTTCAAACATAAAAAATGTATTCATTTAGATATCTAACACATCACAATGATAATACTATATATTTAATATTAAACGAGATGCTTTAATATAACATGGAAGCATGTGCATTTGGTATAATGCTCTCCTCATGGTATGCATGTATTCAATGCCTTCAGACAGTTACTCAGTGGATTGAATGAACTGTAGGGTCGGTATTAATGCTGCTCTTACATCGTTATAATGCCCTGGAATCCATTAAAGTGACTGACTCAAATGATCCTGGTTTGATTTAAATTCACAAGTGCTTGTTGCTGTATTTGTTGTTTGTTATAGAAAGTGTGTGCCATTTAAGCCAAGTTCAAATCCACTTGTACTGTACTGTAGTTCACTCAACTCAGTAAGAGTTACTTTTTGTATATAATAAGTTTATGTACAGTAGTGTTATGATATTCTGATGTTCGGTGCAGACTTAAACACACATTTGACACACACACAAGTAAATATAGCCTTTACGGTACATTTGTGTTTTGGTGTTGTTTTAGTGCTGTAAAAACAGAAAAATAGATTATTTAAAGTCACTTACAGTTTGAATAGTCCGTTCATCACTCAACACAGATCTCTGCAGCTGCTCTTACTTTGTTCCACTTGAAATGTTTGGTATTAATATGGGTGCAGCTATAAGGATTAAATTCACCACAACTCTTCATCATCATTTTTATTGTTTTAATCTTAAAAAGAAACAACCATTACATTTCACATGTAAAGCCACAAAAAAAGATGAAAAGCCTGTTCTCTGAAAAATAAAAATGTAATTTGGAAAAAGGCATGCTGGGAAGTCTTCTATAAAAACATTCACATTGAGTCAATGATAAAACATGAGTTGATTCCTCTGGGTTTGTGTGTGATGCTTCACAATGTGTCCGTTCTATTGGTGACTATAAAGTGGCCTCATGCAATCTGACCTAGAAACCCAACCAAATGTCCTTTAAAATCACCACATAGTGTAATTTAAAGTCATGCAGTCGTTTCTTTCTGCAAGAATTACAAATAAAGACAAAACTGTTATAGGCCAGGATCCAGATAATCCACAGTTTTCAAACTGCTGTAAGTGTAGTTGTCACATGCAAAGATTCTCAAAGGTGAATGTATAAACGGTTGTAAAACGTTTTGAGAGAATAGAAGAGCAATTCAACCAGTATGGGTTTATAAAGCTCAACTCATCTTAACGCCCCCCTCCCCTCTCTCTACTGCACACACACACTAACACACATTTAAAATATCCACAAAAAATAACTACAAAAAAGATATCACAGAGATCTCATCAGAGAGTATATAATTCTGCTGATATGCATGAAGAAAATGTTTTGGTAGTAATCAAGAAAAACTGAAATTACTGTATTTTTTGTAAGCAACTACAAAAGCCTACGACACCTTGACTGTCAGCATTTCAACCACACAGATGGTTTGTTGTTCGGCTACAAACAAAGCAGCGTTTTGTGTTTTCGTAACTCCCAATGCAATCTGAGTTGCTGAGTACTTTTTCATCTTTCTAGTTAAAGAAAAAAAGAGAGAAAGTCACAAGCATCAACACAAGCCACTGGCTGGAGACATCAGCTGGGGACCTAGAGAGAGATGGAGACAAAGAGAGAGTGATGAATATGCTGGGTAATATTGTTATGTCTAAATATCTTAGAGACCGGGAAAATATATTTTTCCCAACCAGTTTCTCACTACAAGCGAGAAGGCATACACATCTACATGTCTGACAATCGTTTAACAGTTTTGGATATTCCAGAGATTTTATTTAACAGATTTCTGGAATTGTTGTTTCCTCTGTGCTCTTCTTCCTGGTATAAAGTGAACAGGGTTAAGCTTTTGAGCCTCAATCAGGAAACAGCAACATTATAATCAAAATCCAACGTTGGGGGGGGTTGTTACAAGCCCCCAGGAAAAGCCCTGAGCCTTAAAAATGTTTGGTGGTGAACAAACTGTGAAATTACAACCTCAACAACTTTCGTACCATTTACAACATTCGGCCCTAAAATACTTCTAATCATTTAGAATTCATTTGTAAATAAGTGAATGATAATTTGTTGTGTGATAAATAAAGATCCTATTACTTAAAAACAGATTATTTAATCATTAGGTCCCAATGTTGTGACATGCACTAAGGACTGTTTGAATGAACACTAATGCTCTCTAAGGGTTAATAGTTTTCTTTATACATGTGTGGGTAATTAGTTAATGTCACCACTTTCAATCTAATCTGGTCATAAATAATCCCCTAACTCCTCTGAATTTTTTAGTGAACAAATATTTTAGATGTTTTTTTTATTTTCAGATAAAGGGAATCATTATGGACATGGAATAATGTAGTCTAAGGAGTGTCTTGGTAGCCAAGTTGTTGCTGCACATGCTCCCTCCAACACCCCCCCCCCCCCCATTTGTAGGTTGTCGCCTGTCAAAAAAAAAAAATTGACACTGAAAATGCAACAGAAAAGGGACAGCTATTAGATATTTTGAAAATTCTGAATATTGTCAAAGACTCATTATAAAAGAACAATGTATGTGGCTGTAGGCATTTTCACATTATTGTAAACATTATTGTTTACCAATTTAATCATGACCTATTGTTTGCTTAAAACATTAGCATTTACATATGTTTTTTGTTTTTTTCTAAGAACCTCTTCGTCTTAACACTCCCTGCCCAAACCTTTACCTCTGCTCACACAGGCTGTAAATTTGACTATCGAGGGTTAAACTCCTCTTCTAAGTTTGATTATTGCATATTTGCTCATATTCAAATGTATATAAGGATGAGAATGCTGTTAAATGTACATGAGGCCAGATAAAACAATGTGGTCTTTTGAGTTATTTCACATATTAGACGCCAAGTAATATTTCATGAATTATTCATAATTCTGTAACGTTTATAGATGAAACAACGTTTTGATTAAGGAACATTTTGAATTCATTATTATTGAATCCCTCTTACTTATCGTGGGATTGAGCAAAACATACAATATTTTTAATCCAAATAATGTCTTACCGTGACAGACAGTAACAGTTGTGTGTGCTTTCCAGGGATGAGTGTGTCAAAACGATTGCAGTGTATTCAGAACCATTACCCTCATCCTTTATTGTCTTATTTGTTACATCCACAGTAAACACTTCCACCGGAGATAAGAGGGCCATGTCCGTGTCTTCACTGCAAATGTTGGTTCCCAGTTTGATGAAGAAGCAAGAAGTGATATTAAAGATGACCAATCCATCTAAATCCATCATGCCCTTCATTAAACTGTAGCTTGACCAAACTTTGGTGAATTTTCCAAATCTCACCTTTGAGTCCTGTTCTGCTGTGTATTCCTCTCTGATCATATACACAGTCTCACACTTATTTGAATACAGCAGCGACATTGAATCCATGAGCAGGAAGTGAAGCGACTTGTAATGGAACTGGCTTTCATAGGTATTCCTAACATTTCCGCCCATTGTCTGTACTGCATTGTCAAAAGTCTTGGAAAAATCTTCATCCCCTTCATATGCCAAAAGTGCAGCCATATGTTCTTTTGTTCCTCCAGGGATCGCCTTTAAACACGGACTATTTGCGCTCCATGCTTCCTGGAATTCCTCACTGCTGTTTAGCTCCTGCTTTAAGAGCCCAGAGTGGACAAACTTCTCCAAGGCCTCTTTACGGCATCCATTGTACATGTCGTCTATGGCATCAGGGGCCATGTCCAGCAGTGTTGCGCTCTCTGCAGTCACCTTTATTGAGTATGGAGTTTAAAATATAGATAGAGAGGAGAATATTATTATTTTATTCTAACATAACATCACAACAGGTTTTGATGGCTATTAGTAAGATCAATAAAACTTACTTTGTAGAAGAGAGCTGTGAAAACAATGGAGGCTAGAAGCATTTTTCTTCTGTAGAACATTTTGAATGCCTTTTCCCGTGTACTGTCTGCGCAGAATGCTGAAACAGAAATCCCAGAAAAGCTTTGCAGGACCAAACTTGAACAGAAAGTTGTACACAGTCCAACAATGGGATGATCTATCTTGTTGCT